ACTGTATATTTAATGTTGTTGATTTCATGTTACTAAGTTTGGTCGCTTTAAAACCAATTTTGTTTGTCTACTAAGTGCCCATTAGCGTAAATATTCGACGTTCCAAATTATGTTTTGACTAACCAATTTATGTTCGCTGCTAGTACAATTCTATACAAAATGATAGTTTGTTTGTCTGATCCCTGATTCATCGAAAAACTTTACGTGGTTCGGATCTTGGGCAAGCATGTAATCTATGAAGAATTGCGTATATAAAATGTTGTTTGTGAATCGTTCAGAAGCAATATGAGTTATTCGAATCGAATCGCACGGCTTATAGTAGATAAAGAAACATTTTGAGCCGCCTTAGTAACACGTCGCTCCGCCCATAGTTACATGTTAATTTCAATGCTAAAACAACTCGAAAAAAATGCACGGTGCACGCTCAATTGCAAATGGCGGTATTATATTTCAACTATCCCTTACTGTAACTATCAAATCAACTATCCCTGACTATCCCTCATGTGTTTCAAGAGTTGCCTGCGGAGGAGGCTACATTGCAATAACTGATTGGTCAAAATACATTATTTAACCGTTTTCTGGCGAAACTTTGCTCCCAAGATTGGCAGGCTACTTTTAAATCACTTTCCATGCTTTTATTCCCCATATTTTTCGTACAATAGATTGAATAAATACTGGTAGATGCTAAGTAAGGCTAAGTAAAGAAAAGGCATCTGTACACACAGATTGAAATACGTCAAACTATGTTTGACTAGAAAGAAATTACTTTGAAAAATCTTCAATAATGTCAAAACATATTTGCAAATTTCATTATGCTCGAGACCGGCTTAGCATTGCAAAAATTAAGGCTGGGCAACGGTCAAAGCATTCAAATAACATTATTTAGGTTAAAGGTACCTAAAATTCCTAAAATTCCTAAAATTTCAAAGTTATTTTTGAAACTTTGAAACTGCAATTTTTGTTGCCCTGCAATTGCTTAGCATGCTAATCCTTTTCTAAAATCATTGTTTACTTTGAACGTTTTTAATATTAAAAAAACAACTTCATCTCACACGAGTTAGTTATCAATTTTAAACGTAAATTTTAAGATTACTCAAAAGAATAAAAATTAAACAACGAGAAAAGCTTAAATTTCAAGTATATTGTGCAGCTTTTCTATTAAAGCGAAAGTCTTGATTCTATAGACAACTAGTCTAACAAGCGTGTATTAATTTTTAATTCTAAGCTTAGCATGTCATTTTTTAATTATTTTAGACTTGTTGCCTGGTAATTTAAGTGTTTGAACGGCCATGATAATTACTTAGGGATCTTAAAGTCACAAAACTTGGCAGTGTTTGATGTTTGCTGTGCTCAAAGGCAAAACCGAAACGATTAATTGAGTGTAAAATATAAGTTTAAACTTCAAGTTTTTGTACACAAAAGTTGCACAATAAAATAAGAAGAGAATGGAACGGAGGGGTGGAAGAAACTGAATTCTGAAATGAAAGACGAATATGTTAACTAAAGTAGAGCCATATACAACGTGAAATAAATTATATTCAGCCATATTATTTATAATGTGTAATGAATGACAAGATAAGGCCACAGATTTTGGAAACACCTTACAAGCTTCAGGACGTTTGTCCAACAAAGAAATTAAAAGCGCCCGAAGACACTTTAAGAAGAATACAAAAGAAAATAGCTTTTGCTGAAAAGAAACGGGCTTCATCTTTGGAAAATAATGAGGCTGGCTCAATTCAAAATGGAAATTCGTCTTCAGGAGAACAAGCATCGCCATTGCCAACGAGAGAAATTGATTCTCATGACTGGGTTGATGAATTTCGCAAAAGATACAACACCAAAAATTCCGGCAATGGCGATTTTGAAACGGAATGGTACATGGCATCGGATATATTTCGGCAGGTCGCTATTGCATATTCAAATGATATGTAAACTCGAGACAGCTGGAATTTAAATACCTGCAATTGTAACTGTTGCTAAATAAAAACATAGGTCTTCAAACGAATAAAAAACATTGTCTTTATATAATTATAGTTCTCAGCGCGAAAGAAGAGTACTTAGCTCCGATAAGGATTAAAAGTAAACGAGTTATTTCACAGAAGGAACTCGAACGATTCTTTTTCGTTTGGAAATATTTCGTGTCAGAATTGTGTTAAAATAGTGTGACAAACTCCAACCTCTTTTAAGAGTTATTACACTATTCCATCGTTCACTCTTTGGTTTAGTCATATTTTAGTATAAGATATTCGGATTGCAAGAATTAGGATTAATTTAAGGGTAGGATGGATCGCGTGGAATGATTAGGGATAGTCATAGACCATTGTAGGTCAGTCAGCATTGTATTCCATTCACAGCCACACATGCAGACAACCCATCACTCGAGCTTATAACCAGTCCGGCTCTTATGAATTTTGAGAATCAGCAGAATCTGGTCGATTCTGGCGCTCGTGAACTGATTTGATTTCAGGACTAACCGCATCGAGAAACGAATAGGAGTCATGAGGATCGTACGAATGAGATCGCGGTTCCTGAAAAACAAATACAAACACCATGTTAGTTGAATTGCATAGGTTTATCAATATAAGAGTTTCAGTTATCAATAGTAATAGAGTGTCAACAAAACTTTATAAAACTCTGCAATCATTAAGGATGATTTGCATATAACACACAAAGGACTATTATTATATTAGACTATTTCACATCTACCGCTTGTCGTGCCAGCGACAACTAACGACCAAATGGAAACTAGGCTTTAAGCTTTGAAAAATAGATTCAAATTATAAAGGGCAATTGAAGACTGCACATGTACCTCTGCTAGCGAAGTGATGTATCATACCACAAACTGATAAAAACTGTGTTTGTGGTTATCCTCAACACATAAGACGAAACATAAGATTTTTTGCATCCTTGCACCAGCCAGGTGATCTGACATTGAGCAAAAGGACTGGGACTAGCAACAGAATAGAAATCCAGTTTCGTACCTTTAATCGCTTGTCACGCCCTGATTCTTTTGTGAAACTGTTTGAAACTTTGTGTCTGTTTTGAAACATAAATCTAATACCGTTGATGAGATATTGAGTAATTTTAATTAAACCAGAAATAGATTTCTATTCTACAACTAGTGCCAGGTCTTTTCCGAGTTCCGAGATCACCTGGAGGAGATCCTACATACCTCTGTTCTGGCGACATGTTGTGGCGTACCAGGCGAGCTTCTACATCCTCTTGTCCTCGCACGACCTTGTCTACCCAGTCTCATCAACGCCACCCTGGTTAAACCTACAGAACGGTTTGCAATGGGAGACTGAGTCATATCATTGGATTCACTCTCTCCAGCTAGAGTGGTCACGTGAACCTCTCCTGAACTGCTGCTCCTGTGGTGATCACCAAAGCGAAAAGTTCTCGGAGAACTCCCACGCCTCTTATGAGAAGGCGGAGTTGGACTAAGCCTGGGCTTTGAGTCACTTTCTGGAAACAGATTCTCTAAATTCTCACAATTTGACTCAGATTTCTCAAAATCATCTGAATTTCTAGAACGGCTCCTCTCTGAAGTGACGTCAAAACTCTCCTGCGAGGTGACATCATCAGCTTCTATCCCATCGTCCGTAGCGATTGTTCTGCTAATTTCCGCAAACTGATTACTGCTGTCGTCATCCCACGCCATTTTGACTTCAACAGGTTTGTTGCCATGGTTACCAAGCGTGGTCTCCGTGAGAAATACTGTACCATTATAACCATCTTCATTATCATTCAGATTCATTTGCTCTTCGAAATTTCCATGAAAGCTATCAAAATCGGACTCATTTCTCCAAAATATATCACTATCATCATTGTCGATATCAGTTTCAAGTTTCTGAGAAAAATTCTCAGATTTTTCATAACTTTCCAAGAAAGTCCGATGATCGATAACTTCCTCAGTGTTTCCCCGTCGTATTGTGTCTCGTACACTCTCGGAAACTGCCGGATTATCTTCGCTCTCCGACTCCGAGATGTTTCCGTCGCTGTCGTCGTAGATGTCATTCGATGTTCCACAATGTTCACACTCGTAAGGACTCTTTGGATTCCGACGCCGTCGTTTTTTCTTCGGGAGTTCTCTTTCGCAGAATTTGCAGAATTCTTCACGATGTTCCGCAGAAGGAGTTCTTTCCTGTTTTAAAATAAAAAAATAAAAAAAATACTATCATTGATGAACTTGTTGAAACTTTTATAGAAGCAAGCAGATTGATATAAATCTCTATCGATTGCCTTCACATATAAGAGTGTTACTAGACTTTCGCAAAGTATATAATTAGCAACAAAAAGAAAGGATCTCGAGGAAAAAATTTGCGAAACAGTGCAGAATTTCTTTCATTTCTAAGTCTAGAGTAGTAGACTTAAAGAATGAACATTTTCTCACTGTCAATAGCGAAAAACAGCCATGAGAACTAGCTTTCTTTGTGTATCGATTCTTCCAACTCTACCTTGCTATAGTCGGGTGGTTTCACTGGTTGCTCTCTTTCAACCATCTTCGCCTCATCGACAAAACTCATGAACTTTTCTGTATTCATTCCTCTTGAAGTCTGAACAAGAAGAAAATGTACGATTGTTAAAAGATGGACGTTGTCTTCCAAGCTAAGATTCTAGCATTGCTGTTACAGTATCCAGTATAAATAAAGTTAATTTGGTTGGGTTTCCACCTGTAGTAACACTGGATCAATAAGAGATGGTCCTTATTGGACCTCTAGGAAGAACAGTTTAGAACTAATGGAGCTATCCAGTATAAATAAAGTTAGTTTAGTTTAGGTTCCCTCCTGTAGTAACACTGGGTCAATAAGAGATGAACCTTACTGGACCTCCATGAAGAACAGTTTAGAACTGATAGAACTACCCAGTATAAATAAAGTTAGTTTGGTTGTGTTTCCTCCTGTAGTAACACTGGATCAATAAGATATGGTCCTCATTGGACCTCTAGGGAGAACAGTTTAGAACTGATAGAGCTGGCCAGTATAAATAAAGTTAGTTTAGTTTAGGTTTCCTCCTGTAGTAACACTGGATCAATAAGAGACGACTCTTATACTGGACCTCTGGGAAGAACAGTTTAGAACTGATAGAGCTATCCAGTATAAATAAAGTTAATTTGGTTGGGTTTCCTCCTGTAGAAACACTGGATCAACAAGAGATGATCCTTAGTGGACCTCCAGGGAGAATACTTTAGAACTGATAGACCTTCCAATAGAAAAACCCAACAAGTTTCCGTTCAGTTTACTCACGAGAATGGTTGAATCCAATTTAGGCAATTTACGGATGACGTTCACGTTGTGCTTCTTACACCACTCCAAGACTTTCCTTTCCTCTCCCCGATCACCGACCGACCTCGCCAAACGCTCTTCGGCACGTACTCGGGCGACGACGTCTCGAGGTTCCCACGATCGTGAGACATTCGGAGACTGTGGAAATCGAACATTGGGTCGAGTTATAACCAAATTGTCTGAAAGATAAAGGATAGAAATCTGTTAAGATAGAGTTCTAAGTTCTTTGTAGCTTTACATGGCGAGTAAGAATATTTGTTATTGCAATAGCATATCCCTATTATTATTATAAATCTCAAACCATAGTCTGTTAAGATATGTTGGTCTGGAAGCCTGGGAAACTTCAAAGCTACAAAATAGAAGAGCTTTGTTTGATGTTGAAATGTACCTCATCGTGAACAAATCCTTTGTCTCAACTTCATTAAATTTTATTTTGTCTCTGTTGGTATAATGTACTCAGGTTAATATGTTTGTGATGTTACTCTGAGTGTATATCCACACCGGGAAAGCTTGAAAAATATGCCTAGCCACGGTGGGAATCGAACCTACGACCTTTGGAATACTAGCCCAATGCTCTGCCAACGGTCAGGTCGGTTCGAGTATTGGGCTAGTATTCCAAAGGTCGTAGGTTCGATTCGTACCGTGGCCAGGCATATTTTTCAAGCTTGCACGGTGTGGATATACACTCAGAGTAACATCACAAACTTCATTAAATATTATTCATCGTGGTTGCACGTTTCATCTCAGCTATCCCTATCGGGCGATTACTTCATTTTAATTCACATAAACTTAGACAAAAACATAATACGATGACTTCCGTTTAGTTCCCAGTCCATCATCTCTTGATAGACTATGCTGAAGTACTAAAAAAATCTTGCTTACAAATTAAATTAAAGTAAACTTAAAGTAATTCCATAAATCTAACGATCCTGTTTAATAGCGATTAGTATACATCTCTACAAGTCAATCCGCCTTTTTAAAACAGGGTTTTTAGTAGCATAAAAAAACTACGTTATAACGTTAAAATCATATCATAATGACATATTTGTATATTTGGCTACATCAGCAATAATTAAATGATACCAAAAATCAAATCAAAACTAAGCTGAGAAATAAACCAACATTGACATTCGAAAAATGCTACATTTAGGCAGTCCTATAGAGTGGAAATAACTAGTCCCACTTGTAGATCTCAAAAGTAGTACATACTCCGTAACTTGTATTTACGATGTACGACATACGCTGTATAGAATCAGATGTCCAAAAATTAACTAGAATTTAAAAGAAGTTCATTATTCCTACCTTTCACATTCGGTAAACTTGATCGACGCATTGATAGCACAAATTCCGTAGCTTCTTCTGCACAAATTTCAGTCACAGTATCCGATACACGTAATTTAACAGCAGTTTAAAAGAAGATTTAATTACGGTATAAGGATGTCTGTTCTATATATATACATGTTTACATTTAAGCAAGCAGGTGTTCCCGAGACCTTAGCAACCAAATGCAGTTGTATCTATATACATATCCTAATTCACTGGCTAGTTTCACTGAGCATTTTCACCGCAATGGACCATTTGCATTATAGACTAAATTTTGACCTAGATAAGTCTAGACAAAAGTTTCATCACAGCTTGAAAGAGCATCACAAAATTAGTAATATTCCGTAGTAAGTTTCGTTGTAGAATGCGGATAATATAGCCATGCGAAGTTTGCCGTTTTTCAGTCATTTTGTATTACGCACGGGAAATTGACAGCCTAATCGGGTGTTGGGGCATCAATTTCCCGTTTGTAATACAAAATGACTGAAAATTGCAAATTTCGCAAGGCTATATTATCCGCATTTTACAACATTTCGCAACGAAACTTTGGAATATTACTAATTTTGTGATGCTCTTTCAAGCTGTGATGAAATTTTTGTCTAGACCAAAATTTAGTCTATAATGCAAATGGTCCATTCTGGCATAGATGCATTTGTATGTATTGAACACTATATGATTAAACAGCTGAAAATATACATAAGCAAAACAAACGAATATACTAGACATTCAGTTTTACTTGGTTAAGCATCTAAGAGACTAAGAACGAGTGTTTAATCTATATCTAGTACATATACGCTGGACTCCCCACTTTATAAACTTACCTATGTTAAACGTAGACACAGAACATTTTCTCGGACACAAGAATTTTCAGGAAACGTTTATTTCTGTTCCTTTCACATTTCAAACATTTAACAATTGTGAAAGGCAAAAAATATGCAGTCGTGAAAACCCGTCGGTTATAACTGATAACCATTACAATATTGGTATACATATGTGCGGAAATTTTGCTGCGAAAAATTTACACGAGACAAATGTCATGAACATACTACAACGCTTTTTCCATGAATTTTAAGTTAACATGAGTTTATATATCCACAAACTATGAGTTCCAAAAATATTTTTGAGGTGTGATTTTATACATATTTGAGAACAATTCTCTTTAATGTCTCTTGAGAGAGATTTCTTTTATCCAAGTTATAATCAGAAATTTTTTTCCTGCTCTAAAATAGTTTGTTTCAAAGTAATGTTAATTTTTTATAAAGGATCACTTGCCGACCATCTAGCGAGGGTAATAAACAGCTTGGGTAATAAACAGCTTTTGCTTTAAGCCAAGCCAAATCCTTCTGGGCACTCGTGAATAGTTTTGAGCAATACTGAACGCAGTTTATCATAGGTTTCGTACGCAGGCAAATCCAGTTGATTGAAACTAGAAAATTTTAAAAGATTATCAATATTATGTTAATTAAGCTTGTGATGTTACTCTGAGTGTATATCCACACCGGGCGAGCTTGAAAAATATGCCTGGCCACGGTGGGAATCGAACCTACGACCTTTGGAATACTAGCCCAATGCTCTGCCAACTGAGCTACGCGGTCAGGTCGGTTCGAGTATGTGATATTTTGGAACTAAATCTAGTTCCTTCGATATCGATGTAATCTAGTAATCATGAATTTTTTCTGTGTATAATTAGTTTGCATTAACACTCAACCTTTAAAGATAGCTACCCATTGAGCTACCCAAAATTTCTCAGATTTCCAAATTTTCCAGTTTAACGAGGGCTACGAATGTACAAAGAGATATTTACCATGTATGTGCAGCAGGCAATCTATCTGTGGAGCGATCATCACGGTGAATTTGGAACTTCTGCAAACCGTTCATTCCTTCAAGCGCTGCAAAACCTTGCAATGGAACTTTTGAAGTTCCCGTCACAAACTGTAGGAATTTAGCACGGTCGGCTTGGTCGAATGAACGTAAAGCTCGCCATAACCATTGGATCTAAAAGATAGATTTGGAATTGACAAGCGCCACTTAATTAACGATGTGTGCCAGTTAGCGATACGAACAAACAGCAATCTCTATACGAAATACAACTGCATACCTGTAATGAACTCTCGTTATATTTATGGTACTCCGTATTGGCCTTCAAGTCGTCAAGATCAATGTTTGGCAGTCCAGATATAAGTAACTCTAGTTCTTGTTCATCAAATATGGAGATCAGTCTCTTAGGAATGATTTCATAGAATCCATTGAGGAAACTTTCAATCTGTTTTCGAATGGACGCAGTCATCTTCTCTTGGCAAATCAGTTTAACGTATTCTTTCTTGTTGTCTTCTGTGACGGGGATATTTCTACCGTTCGCTTTCAGATCGCGCACTTCAGAAACACCGAATTCCTCAATCTATCGTCAAGCAACGATAAAGAGGAGAAATTAGGCTTTGTTATGCATTTTAGGAGCAGGGCCGTCGAGAGGGGGTGGGAGGCAAATCGCCCCGGGCCCCCACCTTAATAGTGCCCCAACTTGAGACTGAGAGCCTAAATTGAGTAGGTTCTTTAAATTGGTCAGAAAAGTTTTGAAATTGAGGATCCCTTACAGTACCTCCACATGCAGTCTAGCTAAGGTCTAGTTGGAATAGTTGGGTCTAGCTTAAAACTACGTCATGGGGCCCCCAGGGAAGATTTGCCCAGTTAGCACTTTTTTCCATCCAGCAAACCGCCCTATCGATTTTGTAAAGTCGTTTCTTTTTGGATTTTTTTATTAATTCGGTTAGGGTTAGGGTTAGGGTTAGGGTTAGGGTTAGAGTTAGGGTTGAGGTTAGGGTTAGAGTAGGGGTAGGGTTTGGGTTAGTTACATAGCCATTTAACACCTCTTCTATCTTGCGAAAATGACGTCAGGTCAGTTTGCTGGATGGAAAATAGTGCTAACCGATTTGCCCCGGGCCCCGCGAATTCTCTCGTCGGCCCTGTTTAGGAATTATCCTAATTTTGGCCTGAACAATAACTTTATCTGTACTTTACATGTGATAAAAATCACGTTAATTTACGTAAACTTTAGCTTTGATTTTCTCTGCTTAGACAAAGTCCATTTCTAAAATTACTTCGCCAATAAGATCGTCGTTTGTTTATATATGATAAAGCACTCCTGTTCGTGTTTTAAATAGTATACATAAACTTACATCAGTGCTGAAAGTCAACTCCACTCCAATCTCATCAATATCGTGTTCCAAGAGGTAGACCAGACCTTGATAGAAGCTGTAATCTTCGGCCTCCATATCAGAAACTTTGACTGGTATCCCCAGGATATGTTTATAAAAGGATCTTGTGAAGTACGCATCTAGTAACTTATTATCATAGATTGCCTTGGCCACGACACGACCTAAACCGAACACAAATGTTTGGAGAATTTTAGTAATTTTCATTGCCTCAAAAAGATCCTTGTAAGGGATGGAGGAGTGGCAATCACAGTGTTTCGGATAGCAGCAATGATAGCGGCAAAAGAGGTGTACTCGCCCCCCTGAACGTCTAGCCAGCCTGGCCAATGTAAATGTTTTCAGGGGGTGATGGCCTCTACTTAGCGCACTGGCTAGAAACATGGCGGCCGATTACGCTAACATTAAAGGCGCCGATCGACATGAATCTGGGCGTCTGTAAGTGCTTATTCTGTGGTAGAAGGCTTAACTAAGGGCTGCTGCGCCAACCGTATCTGCTACAAACCTGACTACCTTCCGTATCTGAATGAAGACAAATGACAGACTCACTCACCCACAAAGGTGAAGTAGCTCAAATGATTGGAGTTACAATGTGAACTAGGGTTGGGTAGGTAGGTGACTCGATCACCAGGGGACACCCTGAACAGCGCGTAATTTGGGTTAAACATCTCTCGGGACATAATCATGAACCATTCGCGGAGCAACCCGCCTGCATCTTGACCTTCCTCGCCTTCGAAAACGACGTATAGCCTCGATTTCATATCTTCGTGTGATCGTCGGTGAAGTTCGCGATACGAGTCCTCAAAGACGTGGTCTCGTCGGACGTGTATCGAGAGGTCATCGCGACGCATCGCTCCTTCGTTGAGGCGTTCGAGCTCATGTCGGAAGTAGCGACGTTTCACATCGAAATCTAGGAATCTTGTGTGGTCTACGAGCACGGCAAACGGACCGTCTGCCAAGTGAGTGGTGGACTGGCGTAGAATGTGATTGAGCACAGTTTGGTGCATTTCTGAAATATTACCAATACAAAAATATTTAAAATACTCATTAAAAATTCATAAACCTTGTGGCAAATCATGTCAGCAATAATATGTCACGTGGAGTGACTTTATATCTGATGAAACTCATCTTCATTAGTATTCTTTATATAATTGTTCATCCTAACTAGTATTCTTTTGTAGTCTTATTTTAAGCTATTCAAAACACTTGAACTCTGACAAATCACTCCTTCTCGTGTTTTAAATAGTACATAGAAACGAAATATATAATAAAAATATAAAAATAATCTGGTCTCTCTAGAGGTCCAGTAAGGACCATCAATTATTGGTGCAGTGTTATTGCTTAAAGGGAAATGGCAATATATTTTTTTATTTTCTCGTTTAAAAGAACATTTAAAACCATTACTATTACATTACTATAAGTAAACTAAGTACACTTACCCGCAAATCGTAGAAACACCTGATGATCAATGGGCAGATCTGCCAGGAATGTCTGTAATGTAGGACTTAAAGACCCTCCGGGGGAGGTAGGCCCAGGGGATGGGGGCATTTCATCAATACTTCGTATAGAGGCAAGTCTTGCGAGATCGGAAGGGCGACCACGTGCTTGCTGGGCGGCATTTGATTGGCTGTCTTCTTTCTCTGTGCCATGGACAAGGAAGAAAGCCTCGACAGCAGGTTGTAGGACCAGGACGGCATTTCGATCAGAAGTACGCGCCAGTTCACTTAGACACTCACTCAGTGTGTCCCACAGTTCCTCCAGAGCAAGCTGACTGCTTAATCTTGTCAGTTCATCATTCGAGTCTTGGTTGTCTTTCACTATGAAATAAAACCAACATATACCTCTGTAAATAACGACATAATTGCTGTAACAGAAAAATTTTAATAATTGGATATAGTTAGCTGACAAGTTACCTTCGGAAGGTCCAGCATCATCACCAGGCGTTACTTTTTCAGCACTTCCTTCGTTTGACGTCGCTTTCGCTTTAGCTGTTTCCTTCGCTTCTAAATAAGAGAAAACACAAAAAATTTATGGCGTTATCCATTGTCAAACCATAGCATATCATACCACATCACACACCATAAAATACTACCCAATACCATACCAAACTTCACCACATCATACCATACACCATAGCATACACAATCATACAATAACCAAACAATACCATACAATACCATTGACCTTAGACCATACACCATACCATACACTACACCAAACCTGCACACCACACAACAACTGTAGACAACATGCAGTCGACCTTAAAATAAACTCAAGTATGACATCTGGAGCATAATTTGAACCAAACCTCCACTCAGCAGAAGGAATCAAGAACCCCACTTTCTTTTATTATAAGAAACTCTTTTGTTGCGTGCAATAAGTACAAAGGTTCTATAATACCATACCTTGTTCCTTCTTCTTTTCCAATTCTTTCTTAGCAGCTGCACCAGCTTTCCTCGCTGCCACCCTCAACTGCAATATCACACGCAAACCACGGAGGAACAAATTCTGACTTGATGTCTTCTCTGTGAATGAGGCCATGGCTGGGAGATGAAGGTCGTAGGTCAATGATCGGATCTGACGTTGTTGACCTTGGCCTTGATTACGTCGACGACCTCTCATCCCAGTCGCCACCCCAAACCTCGGTTCATTGTACAAGCGAGCAGCGGCGTTTCCTGTGTTGACAGGTCGGTTGAGGCGTTGGAAAGCAAGAACTTGTTCGAGAGGTTCCTTTTGCGCTTTCTCGTTAGGTGTGACCGTGGCGTGCGTTGCGTTATACGTGCGCAGTTCTTCAAGTAAACGCGATATGTTGCCTTGTAGAACGTTACCGAGGTCACGCACGCCCATCAGTAACAAGGACAAAACAGCATCACGCGTATCTGAGTTCAATCTCGATACCTACAATGACAAAAGTCGACTTTAAGATATTATCAAACACTATACCAGATGGATTTCTATGCCGTTCCACTTGATAGCAAAGGTTATGTATGTGCATTTAACCTCTGCGAGAAGGGTTCAATTCCAGCAATTTGCTGCTGGTTGATTTACTTTCGCCTCAGGCAAGTTTGACTAAACACTGGTACTCTAGCTTTCCTCTTTTGTAATACTGGACCATTAAAGTACGACATTCTAGTCTAGAGCTGATAAAGCTATCAACAGTGGCGAAGCTAACCTTAGCAACATTTTTAATGATTTTCATTATTCAAACCTTACGAAATGTATTGTGTTTTGGTTTATTTACATGCAGCTTTATTAGCATCGCATGACCAGTTGCCACGGCTAACTGTGACACTGGCTGGCAAGTATATACAAAGTTAGTTTAGTTAGGTTTCCTCCTGTAGTAACACTGGATCAATAAGAGATGATCCTTACTGGACCTCTAAGAAGAACAGTTTAGAACTGATAGAGCTATCCAGTATATACGTTAGTTTAGTTAGGTTTCCTCCTGTAGTAACACTGGATCAATAAGAGATGATCCTTACTGGACCTCTAAAAAGAACAGTTTAGAACTGATGGAGCTATCCGGTATATACGTTAGTTTAGTTTAGGTTTCCTCCTGTAGTAACACTGGATCAATAACAGATGATCCTTACTGGACCTCTAAGAAGAACAGTTTAGAACTGATAGAGCTATCCAGTATATACAAAGTTAGTTTAGTTAGGTTTCTTCCTGTAGTAACACTGGGTCAATAAGGGGAAATCTTTACTGGACCTCTACGGAGAACAGTTTAAATTGTTATGGTTATTCAGTATAAATAAACATCACTACCAATCCATTACCTGCAACAGCAGAGTTGTCGCGTCTTCTAAACCATCCTCGGAACACGCTCCAGATGTCAAAACCTCAACTGCCAACTTCAACTGCGGTGCCATGACAACCGTGTCTGATATCACGTCATCAGTTGGGGCAACATCCAGGGACTGGGGGGTCTTAGTATCAGACACAGATGACGTCACTGAATGAACCTCGACGTCCATTGGCTCGTTACCAACTTCTTGAGGTATACTCCCGGTCGTGGGACCACTGTCGACCGAATCAGTTTCGGGTTCCAGTCCCCGGGGCGAGGTCTCGACAACGAGAGACGAGGTCACAGACTCAGGAGTCTGGGCCCGACCTGTGCTGGCTATTGATTGGTTAGATGGTGTCGCAGGACGTGTGACGTCAGCTGTGGGGGGTTGCCCGTTGCTTGGCAACGCCTTGGTTTGGTCAGCATTATCAGGTAGCGATGCAGATATTACAGATAATAGTCGTAATAAACTGTCCATTAGATTCGCATTTTTACGTATAACTGGATGAGATAGCAGACTCATTAGATAACCTATGGGCGATGCATTGAAGTCCGTGTTCTTAACAGGTGTACTACATGAAGTATTCTTAGCAGAAACCTTGCCTTTCTTGCCTCCGTATGTTCCATCAAGTCGAACTAAAATGTTCCAAAATTCCGCTTCATTCAACGAGCTCACCGCAGGCTCATCCTTCGCACCAGTCTCTGCACAACTCGCCACTTGCTCGGGCGTAAAGCTTGCCGGGAAGTTCTTTGCTAGAGCGGCCAAAGCATCGAGCACGTGTTTACACACGAAAGACGACGCTTGAGAGTTCACTGACACGTTACTTGCTGATTTATCCATACTAGATTTTCCAGTTTTTTGTACATTGAATATACGCGCTCTACATCCTAGTGCTGCATCCACACTCATGTTTAACCACGATGAACTACTCGGGATGACTTCGGGAACTGTTCGGGATGTTTCGCCAAGTTGATCCTCAAGCGCTCGGGTTTTAGTATCGGATTTCTTACCCGGGCCTTTTCCCCGTGTATTGGACGCCACCACCGGGGCACAACTCCCATCGGGGTTTTGCCCACTAGTCCTTCTTAGTATAGAAATAAGAGATTGAATTACCCATTGTCTAGTTTCTTGGTGATAACAAAAGTTTTTGATTACTTTATGTAAGCGATTTATATTGATCCTGGGTTCGTCGACAAATAATAAGATAAGTAAACAAACAAGAGCCTCGTTATCGAGTATTTGTCGTCCAGTGATGGTGCTCTTTTTGTCCTTGCCTGGCCCAAGTCCAGCTGCGAACCCGGGACCCCGGCCCCATCCACTGCCAGGGGGAATGAGACGCGAGAACTGTAAGCTACCCCCGCGTCCGATACGGCCAACGCGACGCGGGTAGCCGGATCTGCGGAGCAATGCTGATATTGCGGACGCGGCATCACTGTCACCACTGAAGGCGAATCTTTCCTGCATAAGTCGGGCTTGGCGGGCCTCAAACTCTCGTCGTAGCGACTGTGCCTGGGTGGACAGGTCCTCTGGTAGTACACTGAGCTGCGAGTCATCCATGTCGGTCAAGATTTGTTGACGTAATGCCGGCGGGAGATTACGTAAGAAAGTTCCCGGATCTATAGGTTCTTCGGGCGTCATCGTGCGCACGCGCTGTCGTTCCTGTTCCAAACGTTGTTGCTGTAAAACCTGAATGAAAAGAAATGCAATGGTTGTAATACAACGGTTAATAAATGTTTTTTTTTTATATATATATATATACGCATAATCTTCGTGACAGCTCAACCACATTACCGTTGCAAAAGAGTTTCATGTATAACGGAGCTTTCATATGAAACTCTTTGCCAGAAATTATTAGAGAAAGCAAAACACTACCGAGAGCAGCATAAAACCGAATACAACCAAAATCCAGTATAAATGTTATCTCGTCCGTTATTATTGTCCGTGATAAATTAACTTACTTCATCCTGCACTTCAGGAGGTAAAGCAGCCAGGAACTCAGGACTGACATTCAATGTGCCCGTGTTCTCTCCACCACTTGATGTCGAAGGGCCAGACGACGACGCAGCGGCCGTACGACGTAAAGCTAACTGCTCTGCTAAAACCTCACGACGTATCGCTTCGGGTAGCGCCTCCAAGAACGAGGGATCGACACCCTCGGGTATTTGAACTCCATCGATCATGGCTGGTGGGTTCTGGGTGTCGCTGCTGGTTTCCGGTGTTTCAGTTGTGAATAGAGAAAGGCTTTCTGTGAAGGCATGTGTTGGATCTGCATGTTGGCTTTCTGCTGTTGGCTGATTAGGGTTGGTGGTGTTTGGAAATACTACAGAAACACAAAACAGTGAAATCAATAATCCTTCTGCAGTGGTTGGCCGAACCTGTTTCGGGAACGGGACAGTTTAGAACTGATAGAGCTATCCAGTATAAATAAAGTTTAGTTTAAGTTTCCTCCTGTAGTAACATCAATAAGAGATGATCCTTATTGGACCTCTAGAAACAACAGTTTAAAACTGATAGAACTGTCCAGTATAAATAAAGTTAGTTTAGTTTAGGTTCCCTCCTGTAGTAACACTGGATCAATAAGAGATGATCCTTACTGGACCTCTAGGAAGAATAGTTTAGAACTGATAGAACTATCCAGTATAAATAAAGTTAGTATAGTTTAGGTTCCCTCCTGTAGTAACACTGGATCAATAAGAGATGATCCTTACTGGACCTCTAGGAAGAATAGTTTAGAACTGATAGAACTGTCCAGTATAAATAAAGTTAGCATAGTTTAGGTTTCCTCCTGTAGCAACACTGGATCAATAAGAGATGATCCTTATTGGACCTCTAGGGAGAACAGTCCGTAACTGATATAGAGCTATCCAGTATAAATAAAGTTAGTTTAGTTTAGTTTGTAAATAAATTTAGTTCAGTTCAGAAACACTGGAATGATAAAAGGCTTGGATCTCCAAGAACATTAACAATATAAGTAGAGCTAACAGGTTAAAGTACATTTAATTGGAGATTTGGTAGCACTTGGCCTTGAAGATAGAATGGTGCGTTTTAAATTTACCTGCTGGAGACGAACCATCACCAGTAGTGTCCATGTAATCATCATCATCAGGTGACCGTGGGGTGGGGGCAAGGTTAGGGTCCGATGGATCAGGGGTTTCAGGCAAAGCACGGGTGGGGGCTCCTGGGCACACTTGGGTGGGTGTATCAAGATTCGGAGTGACAAACAATCCCACTTCGGGAACTGCTACAGAGATGATGCCCGCTACCTGAGGTGGGCAGGGAACAAGGCTGGGGGTGGGGGTCTCACTCACAACCACACTGCTTGCCTCCACTTGCATTTCAGAATTACTGGGCTGAATATCATGGCTAGGTTCAGGTGGGAGATCAGGCTGTTGAACATCGCTGGCTTGGCTGGCTGGGGTATCATTGGTTGCTTCAAAGTGCATCTCCGAAGGTCGGTCACTGGGTGGTGTGATGTTACTTGGTTCAATATGCATTTCTGACGGTCTAGTTTCATCAGTTGTCTGGTTAGTTGGCGTTTCTGGAACACTGGTTCCTTCCTCGTTTCTTTGGGTTGTTTCTCCTAGATTAAAATAAATGCTTAGTGAATGATATAGACGTTTGATATATACAGTAAACTCAATCGACTGGTTTCAAGTCCGAATTAAACTAAACTAACTTCATTCATACTGAATAGCTCTAGCAGTTTTAAACCCTAGAGGTCCAGTAAAGATCTCCTCTTACTGATCCAGTGTTACTACAGGAGGAAACCTAAACTAAACGAACTTTATTTATTCTGGATAGCTCTATCGGTTCTAAACTGTCCTCCCTAGAGGTCCAGGTTCTACAATAAACTGCCTATCATGTCAATTCATGTACAATCAATTAATAATCGTTTAATCACAATCGTACCAGCTTCAGTGTAAACATGTCCTTCTTCCTCTCGTCCTGAAACATTTTCTGGTAGGCTAGGTTGAGACATGGTGGACTCCACTTGCATCGGTTCACCACTTGTTGTGGTCGTAGGTTCACTGCTTGGCTCATTAGCTTTGCTATCTTCTAAAATACGACAAAAAGAATATGCATACCAACCATCTTACATGATATTCCAGTAACCACACAGGTGTTGGCGGCATATCGGTTAGCCCAATCACTGGATTGTGACTGAACGGCATGGAGAACAGTGGGAATTTCAAAATAATGAAAAGACAACGGAATATACATTGCGATCACTGGATCGTGACTGGATGGCATGGAGAACAGTGGGATGTTCAAAACAATGAATAGACAAGGCAGGGTTCGTACATGTGAG